TCCCCTGGGTCCAACCCTTAGTATTAAAATAAATAAATAAACTGGGTGTGGTGGTGCACACCTGTAATCCCAGGGGCTTGGGAGGCGGAGGCAGGAGGACTGCAAGTTCAAAGCCAGCCTCAGCAAATTAGCAAGACCCTAAGCAACTTAGCAAGACCCTGTTTCAAAATGAAAAATAAAAAGCTCTGGGGATGTGGCTCAGGGGTTAAGTGCCCTTGCATTCAATCCTTGGTACCAGTAAATAAATTAATAAATAAATAGGCTGGGGCTGTAGCTTAGTGATGGTGCACCCCTGGGTGCCATCCTCAGTACTGAGGAAAAAATTTAGAAAATCAGGTCCAGTTACTGGTTGTCAGAGGTGAAGAACAGAGAACAGGGATGTGAAAAGGAGATGGAGAGGTTACACAGGGGTCCTGTGAGGCCGGAGCTGTGCAGGAACTTGGCCATGGCAGTTCTAAGAACCTACTCACATGAAAAACTGAATCAGACCTAAGACCCATGTGAATATGAGTTCAAGTAAAACTGGGGAAATGTGAGCAGTGTCTGTGGGTAAATCACCAGAGGAACCAGGCAGATTATTCCAGCATCTCTCTGTCTTATTTCTCAAAACTACATGTTACTCTCCAGTATGTCAAAATTGCAATTTAAAAGGGGATAATGTGTCAGTGCCAAGGCTTTCTGATTGGAGACTGACTTTGGAGTCTTGAACCTTTAATCTCTAGCTTGATATTTTTAAAAACCAATTAGTTTGATTAAGGACTTGCCCAGAGGCTAGTCACCCCTGAACTTTAGCCAAGAACTTCCTTTCCCAACACAAATAAACACTTAAGGAGATGTGAATTCTAATTACCCTGATCTCATCATTAGACATTGCCTATACATATCAAATTATCACATTGTATTGCACAAATATATAATTACTATATGCTGATAAACTTGAAGAAAAAATAAAGACTTTTCCTAACACAGCATGATGACCTAGGAGAGCTCTAGGGGTCACTGACAGGAGGCAGGAAAGCCTCCTTACAGGGAATGTTCTCCCTGAGATGGGAGGACCTAGGAAAGTTCTGCCTGAGAGGAGGCGTGTGGACCTGGTGGGGACTGAGCAGGGAAGACAGATGCCAGGTGGCATGTGACGGTTCCCCGGGACTCGAGGTCATGCCTGTGGCTCAGTCAGTGAGACTTGAGTGGAAAAAGAGGCCACTGAGAGAGGTGTGGCAGGGGAACTTTGAGGAAAGTGGTTTTATTTTCTTTGAAAGAAGTTTAAAGTGCGATACATTTTACCACGAAACCATTCTTAATGCAGTCCAGTGGCGTGGAACACTCACACAGCTGGGGGACCACCCCTGGGGCCGTTTCACCTTGCAAAACTGGGACCCTGGCAGCCACCATCCCACTTTTGTCTATCAGATTCGACAGCTCCAGGAACTTCGTATCGTACGGTGTGTGCCAGGTTCAGCCCTACCCTAGCTGATACCAGCCTTTCTTTCCATTTTTTAAAAAAATGTATATTTTAGTTGTTGTTGAACACCATACTTTTATTTTATTTATTTTTATGTGATGCTGAGGATTGAATCCAGGACCTCGCATGTGCTAGGCAGGCGCTCTGCCACTGAGCCCCAGCCCCCTTTCCTTCCTTCCTTTTTTTTTTTTTTTTTTTAAAGAGAGAGTGAGAGAGGGGAGAGAGAGAGAGAGAGAGAGAGAGAGAGAGAGAGAGAGAGAGAGAGAGAGAGAGAGAGAGAGAGAATTTTTAAATATTTATTTATATTTTTAGTTCTCAGCGGACACAACATCTTTGTTGGTATGTGGTGCTGAGGATCGAACCCGGGTCGCACGAATGCCAGGCGAGCGCGCTACCGCTTGAGCCACATCCCCAGCCCCTTTCCTTCCTTTTTAAGGCTGAGTGATATTCCACTGTATGTATGGACCACATTGTGCTTATTTATTCATCCAGCCACAGACACTTGGTGTATTTATCCATTTTCCATTGATATAACAAAATACCTGAATTGAGTGAGATATATATATATATATGAAGTTTATTTCACCAACAGATCTGGAGGTCAAGACCCTGGTGCTGACATCTGCTCAGCTCTGGTAAGGGACCCTTTGACTGCACGACAGGGTGGATGGTATAACGGTGCTAGAGGGTGGGAGACAGAGGACCACCTGGTGAGACAGGATTCAAAAGGGAGTCAGTCTTCTCTCTCTTTTTAGTTGGTGGGTGGGTACTGGAGATTGATCCCAAGGGTACTCTGTCACTGAGTTACACCCACAGCACTTTTAATTTTTATTTTGATTCGAAGCCTGGCTTCTAACTTGTGATCCTCCTGCCTCAGCCTCCAGAGGAGCTGGGATTACAGGTGTGGGCCACCACACTTGGCAATCTGTCTCTTTTATCACAACTCACTGAGTACAAACTACCTGGGTGTCAGAACAACATCCATCCCTTCTGAGGGCAGCAGCCCCATGACCTGATCACCTCCCATGACCACCTCCTGGCGACATCATCCCCGAGCTGGGGACCAAGCGTCCACCCCACCAACCTTCCAAACTTAAATCATAGCACTTGGGTTGCCCTCACTTCCTGGCTACTGTGTTTTTGAATAAATGAATGGTGGGGACTGAGAATCAGGAAGTTCGTTCACCTGTCTGGTACTATTCAGTTCGTGTAATCTTTTGGGGTTTTTTGTGGGGTGGGGGTACCAGGGGTTGAACTCAGGGTCACTCAAACACTGAGCCACATCCCCAGCCCTATTTTGCATTTTATTTAGAGACAGGGTCTCACTGAGTTGCTTAGTGTCTCGCTGTTGCCGAGACTGGCTTTGAACTCTTTTTTTAAAAAATACTTTTTAGTTGTTAATGGATCTTTTTATTTTATTTATTTACTTATATGTAGTGCTGAGGATTGAACCCAGGGCTTCACGCATGCCAGGCAAGCGCTCTACCACTGAGCGGCAACTCCAGCCCCTGGCTTTGAACTCGTGATCCTACTGCCTCAGCCTCCTGGGCCGATGGGATCACAGGTGCACCACACCGCGCCTGGCTCATGCAATCGTTCTATTTCTTTATTTGTCCTAATTAGTTATTCATGTAATCTTTACTAAGATTATTCCTCCAAGTTCTTCAATGCTCTTTCCTTTCCCCTTCCCTCTCCTTCCACTTCTTTTTCTTCTTCTTTTTTCTTTAGTTGTAGATGGACACAATATCTTTATTTATTTATTTGTTTATTTATTATGTGGTGCTGAGGATCAAACCCAGGGCTTCGCATATGGGAGCTCTACCGCTGAACCCTAACCCCAGCCCCACTCTCCTTCCATTTCTAAGATGAATTTCCTCCCTTCTGCTGTGGCTCGTCAGTGGGTTTTTTTTTTGGTTTTTTTTTTTTGAGGTGCTGGGGATAGAACCCAGGGCCTTGAGCAAGCTGGACAAGTGCTAACTACCACTAAGCTACACCCCAGCCCCTGGCTACTGTGAACAACGCTGCTCTGAACCTGGTTGTGATGGTTTAGATATGAGGTATCTCCCAAAAGCTCTTGTGTGAAACAATGCAAGAAGGTTTAAGCTGGGCACAGTGGTGCACACTGCAGTCCCAGTGTCTCGAGAAGCTGAGGCAGGAGGAACACTGTTTAACGCCAGCCTCAGCCAGGTCCTAAGCAACTTAGCAAGACCCTGTCTCTAAATAAATAAATAAATAGGGCTGAATTTGTAGTTCAGTGTTTAAGTGCCCCTGAGTTTAGTCAAAAAAAAAAAAAAAGGTTTAGAGGTGAAATGATTAGGTTATGAGAGCTTCAACCTAATCAGTCAATTAATCCCTGATATGGATTAACTGGGTGGTAACTGCAGGCAGGTGGGGTGTGGCAGGAGGAGGTGGGTCCTGGGGGCATGCCCTTGGGGTGTATATTTTGTCCTGTTGAGCAGAGCTCTCTCTGCTTGCTGATCTCCATGTCATGGGCCACTTTCCTCCACCACACACTTCTGCCATGATGTCCTGCCTCATCTCAGGCCCTGAGGAATGGAGCCATCTACAGACTGAGACCTCTGAAACCGTGAGCCCCTAAATAAACTTTTCCTCCCCTAGTTGTTCGGGTCTTTTGATCACAGCGGCGAAAAAAATCTGACTAAAACACTGGTTCAGGAGCCACATGCCTTTGCGGATACATGCAGAAGTGGGGTTGCTGCTGGATATATACTTTGGAAACCAGCCTGAGGCTAAGGAAAACTCTAGGACTTATCAGAGGCTACACCTTGGGTGTGCTCAGGCCTGTGGAGAAGTCTCACCCTGGGACCCTCTACCTGTCCAAGGGAACAGGGATCAATCTGACGGGCACAAGAAGCGCTGGCTACCCTAAAAGACTCTGCCCATGCCTGGTTGGGTCCAGGGCCCTGGCCACACCCCTGCCTCCTGCTCCAAGCACAAGGGTATGTACATGACACACACACGCAGAGCGGGCCCAGCACACCCCAACATCAGGCACAGACAAGGTCCCCTCTCGGTGGGGTACCCACCAGCCCTCACGCTCCCACACCGTAGTTCCTCAGGACCCAATGGTCCCAGCCAGGCCTGGTGAGAAGGCACTGGAAGACTGGGCAGCCAGGTCACCACCTATCCCTCATTCCCTTGCCTACAGGGCTCATGGCATCAGGAGGCTGAACCTCTGCTCCTTCAGCACCCAGCACAGAGCCTGGCCCAGCCTTCCCAGGAACAAAGGAGTCTGAGTCTCATGAGGCAGCAGGGGGAGGGGTGGTGGCCCTGGCAGCACAGAGCCAAGCTGCTCCCGAGGTCCCACCCTACCTGGAGGAGATACAGGACCACATCCTGTGGAGGCCACTGTCAGGACCCCTGCCCAGGCTGGCTCAGACACACCCTGCCACTTACCTTAAGCAAGCAGCTTTTCAGTTCACAGGACAGGGGCGGGGTCAGGGTGGTCACCAGGATTGTGGGAAGGGACAGCAAGACTTTACAGCCAGGAACAAAGTCCTCTGACTTGGGCTCAGACAGCCTACGCTGCAGCTGGTACCCTGGTGTCCCAGCCTGCCACCGACTACCAAACCGCAGACATGCAGGGAGCCCGGGTGCTGCTGCTGCTGCTGAGCCTGAGGCTACAGCTGGCCCATGGTGTCATCCCAGGTACGAGGTTCCCCCAGCCCCACTCCCTGCAACACAGGCCAGCCCCCAGGCTGACCTAGCTGCACTCTCCTCTTGGCCAGTGGAGGAGGAGAGTCCAGCCTTCTGGAACCAGAAAGCTGCTGAGGCCCTGGATGCCGCCAAGAAGCTGAAGCCCATTCAGACCTCAGCCAAGAACCTCATCATCTTCCTGGGAGACGGTGAGTGCGCCAGGCTGGTCCACCCCATGGTGCTCACGGGCCTTGTACCCAGGGCCACTGCTGGGTACAGACCAGCCCTGGGGCTCAGGCCTGAAAGGGATCTGTTCCTTCAGGGATGGGCGTGCCCACAGTGACAGCCACCCGGATCCTAAAGGGACAGAAGCAAGGCAAGCTGGGACCCGAGACACCCCTGGCCATGGACCACTTCCCATATATGGCTCTGTCCAAGGTGAGGCCTCCTGAGCAGGGCGCTGGGGGCTGTGGCAGGGGAAGGACCCAGGAGAGATGGGGCCTAGTTTGGGGTCCAGGGCAGTGAGGACCACCCCAGGCCTAGGCCAAGGAGTAAGGTTACACAGAGGAGAGTGTCTCTGTCCCCAGACATACAACGTGGACAGACAGGTGCCAGACAGCGCTGGCACAGCCACAGCCTACCTGTGTGGGGTCAAGGCCAACTACAAAACCATTGGCTTGAGCGCAGCCGCCCGCCTTAACCAGTGCAACACAACACGAGGCAACGAGGTCATGTCTGTGATGTACCGGGCCAAGCAAGCAGGTAGGTGTGGGGCTGCCAGTGAGAACCAGGGTAGGCCAGAAGGCTTGTGTGACCCACCCTGACCCCTGCAACCTCCAGGGAAGTCCGTGGGAGTGGTGACCACCACCACGGTGCAGCATGCCTCGCCAGCTGGCACATATGCACACACGGTGAACCGCAACTGGTACTCAGATGCAGACATGCCAGCCTCGGCGCTGCAGGAGGGCTGCCAGGACATCGCCATGCAGCTCATCTCCAATATGGACATTGACGTGAGCACAAAGGGCAAAGGGGAGTGGTGTAACCAAAGGGCAGGCCTGAAAACTGGCTGAAGTCCCAGGCCTCCAACCATCTGAACCCTGTGGCCTGCCTTGGCCTCTTGGGGTTAAATGGAGTACCCAGAACAGTCCTTCCCACAACCTGATGGGCAGCAGGGGGCTGTCTGTGAGGAGAGGGCTGGAGGCCCCTCAGGCCCCAAGGCCACCTGTCCTGGGTCTCTGACTACAGGTGATCCTCGGCGGGGGCAGAAAGTTCATGTTTCCCAAGGGCACCCCAGACCCCGAGTACCCAAGTGACACCACCCAGAATGGAACCAGGCTGGATGGACGCAACCTGGTGCAGGAGTGGCTGGCAAAGCCCCAGGTGATGGGGCTCACAGGGCCGGGACCAGGGCAGGGCCGCAGATCTAGGGATGTGGGCTGAGTGTGGGCTCTGTCCCTCCAGGGGACTCGGTATGTGTGGAACCGCGAGCAGCTCATTCAGGCGTCCCAGGACCCAGCAGTGACGCACCTCATGGGTAATGACCCCCACTTCCTGACCTGGCACCCCTCAGGTGGACCCACTGGAGCTTGTGTGCCTGTGGCCATCACCTTCCCCTCCCCAGCCAGCCCCTCATCACTGGGTCCCTTGTCCCCCAGGCCTCTTCGAGCCTCAACACTTGAAATATGAAATCAACAGGGATCCAGCGCAGGACCCCTCCCTGGAGGAGATGACAGAGGTGGCCCTGGGTCTGCTGAGCAGGAACCCCCGCGGCTTCTACCTCTTCGTGGAAGGTGGGCGAGGCACGTGGGCAGCAGGGAGGGCGGGGCAGGGAGGGCGGGGCGGAGCTTCACGCCCCTCCCACTGGCTCCCGCAGGGGGCCGCATCGACCACGGGCACCACGCGGGAACCGCTTTCCTGGCCCTGACCGAGGCGGTCATGTTCGACTCTGCCATCGACAAGGCCGGCCAGCTCACCAGCGACCAGGACACGCTGACCCTCGTCACCGCCGACCACTCGCACGTCTTCTCCTTTGGCGGCTACACGCTGCGGGGCAGCTCCATCTTCGGTAGGCGGGGACGGCGACAGGGGCTGTTGCTGCAGTGCTGCGCCGGGGGTGGGTTCTTGGGAGGAGTAAGCTGGTGACAAGGCGAAAGGCGCCTGTGCGCCACACTGGGGTCCCCGGGGGGACGGCGGTGAGCTCAGGTGCCCCCTGTCCCCGCAGGGCTGGCCCCGCTCAAGGCCCAGGACGGCAAGTCGTACACGTCCATCCTGTATGGCAATGGCCCCGGCTACGTGCAGAACTCTACGTGCAACCGACCAGACGTCACGGAGGATGAGATCCGTGAGTGCGGCCATTGAAAGGTCTTCTTCTTGGGGACAGGGGTGGAGGGGGACTCTCCCGCCCTGAACTCCTCTTCCCGCCAGGTGCCCGCACCTACAAGCAGCAGGCAGCTGTGCCTCTGTCATCGGAGACGCACGGAGGCGAGGACGTGGCGGTGTTCGCTCGTGGCCCGAAGGCGCACCTGGTGCACGGGGTGCAGGAGCAGAACTACATCGCGCACGTCATGGCCTTCGCCGCCTGCCTGGAGCCCTATGAGGCCTGCGACCTGGCCTCCCCGACCCTCCAGAGCACCCCTGGGGGTTCCAGCTCTGCTGCAGCCTCATTGTCGCTGACGCTGCTGCTTGAGACGCTGCTGCTGCTGCTGTGGGCATTCGCCCAGCCCTGACCACAGGATCTCAGGGTGCTCCACTGTGCTCCTGATTGTCCCTGGTTTCACCTCAGGTCCCCACCACTGGCTCCTGCTTCCAGTGCCTGGTGCTTCCTGTGCCTCTATGTGGGGACTCCAGCCCAGTGCCACACTCCAAGCTGTCACCTCCAGAACCACCACAGGGCTTTTCCCATGGTGCCTTCACCTCTGGGAGAAGCAGCCTCAGGATGCTCAGCACTTCTAAACTAGATGTCCCTTGCAGAGGGACCATAGTGCTTCCCAGAGGCTAATACCATGACACTCACATCTCTCCAGGTTGCTCTGGGACTCTGCTTCCTGACTTCAACTGCCTACGCTCCAGAGAAGCAGAGGATGCAGAAGGGCCACTCCACAGAACCTGCAGCCTTGGGGAATACCATGAAGGCACTTTTCCAGAGGCGTCCCCACCAAGCCACTACTGGCCTTGACCCTGTAGTGCTGTTCAGCTTCAGTCTCTACAGCATCGTAGGTCCCCTAGACCTCCAGCATGTGGACAGTGCTGAAAGAGGTGGGCATCCTACCACCCTCCCACTGACCCTGCAACTGACCCTGCCAGCCAAGGAGGGCTTGGGTGTGGAGCTTCCCAGCAGGCTGTGGCATATCCTCAGCTACCCTTCACTGCCCCACTTACACACTCTGCACTCTTCAGAGGTGCCAATAGTAGCAGTGCACACACAGGAAGCCCAAGTCACTGGGCTCCTCAGTGCTGGCCCCCTAACACCAGGCAAGGATGTCCCAGGCAAACATTCCCAAGGAGACACCCAGGAAGCTGTGGGGTTTAGAGCAGCAGATCAGGGCAGCCTTCAGTCCCCTCCCCAGACCATCTAGGCTCTGGGCATAGATTACGGAACAAAGAAGTTCCTTTGCCCCTCTGGGGCCACCATTTTCCTGGAGAAAAAGCAATAAACTATGATACAATGTACTCCCAGTAATATCTGCATAACCATGAGTATGTGGGGCCCAAGTGCAGGAGGGCTGGATAATTGTGACACAGAGGCCAGGGTCAAGTGCCTACAGAGCAGACAGTGAGTAAGATGTGGACAAGTGAAGGCATGAGCAATGCAGAAGCCCAGTGTGGTGGCCTTGGTGCCCTGGGACATGCCCACCCTGCCCCCTGATAAGGAGCTCCCAGTGTGCAATGAGGAAACCCCTGGCAATAGATGGGTCCATGTCAAAGGCACCAGCTCCCGAGCATAGCGACAAGGGCTTCCAAAGAGAAGGCAAACTTCCAGAAGGGAGGCGGTGCTAGCAAGGAGCAGCTTGGGGGCCCAGCTACAGGGAGACATGGAGGGCATCCCATGCACCACCTGGATGCCCATTATGAACCCAACTTGGCTTTTCTGGCAGCTAAGAAGTGCTCATATACAAAGAGGGGCACCAAGTGCCATGCCAAAGGGCGGTTGGCCTGGCCTAGGCAGACGAGGGCCAGCTCCTGGGGCTTGCCACTGCCCTCCATCTCTCTGGCCAGCTCATGCAGGGCCTCCCAGAACATTGGGGACAGGTGCTCAATCAGGACCATGACCACACACCACACCAGGTAGTTGTGCAGAATCCTGGGGGGAGGTGCAACAGGGGATGTCTAAACACACAGGCATGGGGGCCACCCCAGGGAACCACCTGTCGCACAAGTGACCCCACACAGGAGCTGGACCAGGTCCCCACACTGTCCTCAGAGAAGGGCTGTCAGGTCAGTCCTGGTAAGCAGCCTGAAATGTCCTGAGCCCCACTCACACAGCAGGACACAGTCCTGCTACTGACCAGCCCTGACCCTGAGGGGTCACAGCCAGCACCCTTTCCTGACTTGCTATGGGGTGGACAGGGGACACTCAGGGCTCTCTGTCTGCCTCAGGGCTGGCCTTGATCAGCCCCTGCTCCTCCCCAAGGTGGGCAGAGGCCAGGAAGCTGGCCCTGAGCTGGCCCTGGGCCAGCAGAAC